GTGCTACTATTAGCAATCGACTCACAGTATCCCATAGGACCGAGTAGAACTGCCTCATAGAGTTTTTCAAAGCTGTAACCTTTACAGAGGTAGCACTGCGGCTCCATAGGTTAAGCAATGGACTGTGAACCACACAGTCCATGGTTTGAGCCCTCTAGCTGCTCTATAGGAAAAAGATGAGGCTTTCTGCTCCTGTATAGATTTAAATACTCTAAAACCTTATACAGCAGGTGTGGGCCACCCACGGGCCATATAAGGTCCACAAAATCATTTGGTCTGACCATGCCAAGGCAACCACAGTTCCAGCCATCACATTGTTGTTGTTTCGGTGCTGTAGAATCGGTTCCAACTCCTAGCAACCCTGTATAGGGTTTCTGAGGTGTACCTGGTAGGTTTGAACTTCCAACTACATGGCTCTCAATCCAGTGCTGATCCTACAATGCCACACCAGAGACCAAACCATCACATTGTTGTTGTTGCTCTTGTTGTTGTTGTTGTGAAGTGCCATTGAGTCAGTTCTGACCCATATCAATCCTGTTTAGGGTTTCCAAGGAGAAGCTGGTGAGCCTGAACCGCCAACCCTACACTTCAAATGGCTTTGCAGTCTGGCGAATTAACCCACAGAGCCACACCAGGACTCCAACCTTCACATTGTTGTTGTTAGGTGCCATCGAGTTGGTACCGACCCATAGAAACCTTATGCACAGCAGAACAAAACACTGCCCAATACTGGGCCAACCTCACTACAGTTGTCACGCTTGAGTCCATCGATGCTGCCACTTGGCCAATCCATCTCGTTGGGGGTCTTCCTCTTTTTCTCTGACCCTCCACCTTACCAAACATGATATCCTTCTCCAACGACTGGTCCCTCCTTGACAATTATGTCCAAAGTATGAGAGATGAAGTTTGGTCATCATGGCTTCCAAGGAGCACTCTGGCTGCACTTATTCCAAAACAGATCTATTGGTTCTTTTGGCAGCCCATGGCATTTTCAATATTCTCCTCCAAAACCATAACTCAAAGGCATCAGTTCTTCTATGGTCTTCCTTATTCACTGTCCAGCTATCGCATGCATATCAGGTTATTGAAAATACCATGGCTTGGGTCAGGCGCACCTTAGTCCTCAACCTGACATCTCTGCTCTTCAACATTTAAAAAGGTCTTGTACAGTAGATATGCCTAAAGCAATACGTCATTTGATTAGGAGTGAGTTAAATGTTTGACCAAATATAGCAGGCTGATTTTTAAGTTGATAATTTTTCATGACCCAAGAATGATGTAATAAATTTTGGCAGAACATAGATTCCCCATCCGTGTTATACACGGTTCCTATGAGTCAGAACCGACTCCACAGCATGTAACAAAAATCTTTACAGAAGCATACTGTCATACCTTTTTCCCACAGAACAGCTGGCAGGTTTGAACCACTGAGTACTGAATTTTGGGCCGGCAGTAAGCACTTAGGCACTGCATAACTAGGGCTCATTAGTCATATTAGTTGTTGTTGTTGTTAGGTGCCATCCAGTCAGTCTGACTAATACCAACACTATAGAGGTTTCCAAGACTGTAAGTCTTTGCAGAAGCCGGAAGCCTCATCTTTCTCCCACAGGGCAGCTGGTGGGCTCACACTGCCAAGTGTTTATCCTACGGGGCCACCATGCTCCCTAGCCATATTTAGAATACTAGAATTTGTGACATGAAGTAGACCTCCCTACAACTCAGAGCCTTCCAGCAATACCTCCATTTCCCTTCTGTCTGTTCATTATCCCTAGTACATAATGGAAGCTCATAAACATTTGCTGACTACATAAATGACCTCTATGAGTCATGAAGCCCATGCTCCTCTCCCATTTTGCAGATAAAGATCCCGAGGCCAATTAGAGCCAAGAAGGAAAAAATCCACTCTGTGAAGCATTAATTCAAGTTAATAACTGTCTTCTCCCTAGAGGAAAGAGCTAATTTTCCAAAACGAATAGACTGGATTATGGAGGAAGAAATAGTCTTAAAAGCACATTTTTTAAGAAATGTTCTGTTTTTCCAAGTAACATGTAGTTGAAGAAAATGAATTCTGATGATAACATTAAATATCTACCCCATAGAATTGTCCAGCAGCTTGTCGAAAGATCAGACTACAATGACCAGAAAACGACAAGAGCCTGGATAAAATAGAGTCACGATGAGGACATCAGGAATAGCTCAAAAAAGATGCTAAATTATTTAGTTCTAATAAAGCCTCCTGTTACCTGAGTCACATTTCAAACGTGTCTGACTGTTTCTGGAGCCAAGAACCATTTAATGCAGAATCAAGTCCCACTTCCACAAACTACTACTTCCTACCCAAGTAGATTTAATACTAGGAGACATCTCAAAACCACATCTTAACTTTAAGAAACCACCTGTACTCATCAGAACAGCATTCTTAGGAAAAAAGACCACTACCCCACCACCTGCTCTCAAGAAGACTCTAAATGCTTTCCCCAGAAATGGATGTCAGAGATTCTTCTACTGTCTTTATGGAGTAAATGTGTGTCTCCTCTAAGGTAACTTACGACAACTCCTTGCATTGTTTTCATTGAGGATGAAGAACAGTTGTCACCATCTTCACAAATTAACTACTTTTATGTTTCAAAAGTCAACTCTTATGACACAGCCTTTTTAAAGGCTAAATATGCCTACATTTCTAAATTTCAGATGAGATTTTTATTTTTACCAGACTCCTCCGATTGGTTATCACATACAAATCAGGCTGAGGAGCACTGAAGCAAAGTCAGAATTCATGAATTCATGTATATTAGTGAGAAATTATCCTTAACATCCAGCTTGATATGCCTGCCTTCCCAAACCATTTATTTTTTAGCCAGAAAAAATAAAACCTCAATGATCGCATCAAATTTACCTACTTCCTTTTCTTTATTAGCTTTTTAGCTTCTCACCCACTGCAGTGAACATTAGGTCTCTATTTGTGATTTTGTGTGGTGCTGTGGGTTAATGCACTAGACTGCAAAGTCAATTTGCCACAAGGTCGGTGGTTCAAGCACATCAGTAGCTCCTTGGAAACCCTATACAGTGTTGCTAGAGGAAGGAACTGACTTAACGGCACTTGACAACAACAATTTGTGATTTAAAGTCATTCTTATTAAATTCCTAAAATTTAGCTGTATGGACTGCTTGTTCTAGTTCTGAAGTATTTCCTATTCCAACACTGTCTGAATCTTCTCTTTTGTGCTGCCAACTTGGGCCAGTCCTTGGCCACGCTGCTTTGCTGATGATAAACAGTCATGGATAAGTGGGATTGTTACCTCACTCCCTAAGGACATCCTTGGACTGTATGTGGCCCAAAGTGCAAAGCCAGACTCATGAGCACAGCATGCAAGCCCTAACCTCATCTGACTTTGGTATGTATTCTTTATACCATGGTCAAAATTTTCTCTCACACAGGCCATTAATGGCAGCCCAAGGAAGTATGAGTGAGATCCAATCCTGTTTCTTTAAAATTTGCAAGTTAAAAAAAAATTTTTTTAAAGTATTTTTAAGCAAGGTGGAGGAGCAGGTGCATAGGGTTCTCATTTAGTCTTACATTAGTGCAAGAAAAAGCTCTAAGCCTTTTCAATGATTTAAAAGCTATATGTGCAGCAAGGGAATGTGATTATGATGGGAAATTTGTTGCTAGTAGGGTTGGTTCAAGGGCAAATTTACATAACATTAAAGGGCAAGCAGAAGCTGTACATGAATCAGGCATAATCCGAGAGCTGCCTACATTCAGTTAGTTACCTTGAGGTTCTCCCCTTATATGAACCTGCAGTGAAAATTCACACCACTGGGTTTTTATTTATGCTTCCCTTTTGTGTGAAACACCCTTCCTTCAGTGCCCAGGCTCAGTTGCCCCACAGGGCGCTTTAACTTTTTTATGGGTGTCTCTAGTGTTTCACTACAACTACTCTACAATCCATCATAACAATCACAAATCACTCTACAACAATCACAAATAGAAACCCATAGGGAAGAGCATGAGTAAATTTTAGGTTCCTAACCAGAAAAGTGGCATCAGCACAGACAGTGGCAGAGAAGATGGCAGCGAGGGATAGAGCAGCTGAGGGCTCTAGCCCCAAGGAGTGAGAAAGCCTTGTGTGCCTGTGGAACATTTAACTGAATGTGTGTTTTCTGTTTTGTATGCATGTGCATACATTAAAAAAAAAAGTAATAGAGGTAAATTAAATACTGTTGATTGATAGTACATGGAGGGGATTATAATCATTGCAATGAAACAACATATGATTTATTGACTACAAAACTGATAATCTGCTCTGTAAACTTTCATACAATTCAAAATAAAAACTTTAAAAAAGAATGCATTACATCAAAGTGAATGTTGTATCCCAACCTAGAGGTGACTGAATCGTTCCCAGCACTGAGAACCAGGGCTATGGCCTGGTTCGAATCAGTTCATTCATTCAAACACAACTAAATTGGAACATACCAACATTTATAAAATAT